ATCACTGACTGTATATAAAGATGATCACTGACTGTATATAAAGACCATCACTGACTGTATATAAAGATGATCACTGACTGTATATAAAGACACTGACTGTATATAAAGACATCTTCATGTACAGTCATAATACATACATCACATATATAGATTTCAGTGTGTGGGTGTGTTTACGGGATGATGAACTCCTGGATGTTATTGATCAGCTGTTTTCCCACCATGATGACCAGCAACTCTTGAGCCAGTTCAACCAGACACCCTCCTGCTCCGCACTGAAACACAGAACCACATATAAACCTCTCTCTCTCATATACACACACATATATATGTGTGTGTATATATGTGTGTGTACATATATACAGAGAATATACATCCTTCATATTATTCTGATATATATATTTTGTAAAGCTGCAGCTCAGTACACTTATAACAAATGACTGATAAGAACATCAGTCATTCAGTCTAATGTTATCTGTGGGTGAATCGACCCTCTATCTTCTTTTGTTGTTCATCTTCATCAGACATTCGACAAACTCACATCTTCGTTGCGAACTCCAAACAAAGTGTTGTAGTTTCCAGGGTGACCAACAAACCTGAGCACACATACACAGACAGTGTCAGTGGTTAACGTTCTGTTTCATGTGCCACGTGTTATTCCATCACATGTACTTTCTGCTGCTTCATTTGTAACAACATAAATTCAGTCACAGTTTTCATCATGAACCTGCAGGAGGCGCTGTGGTTGTGGAAATGAAGGGTAGAACTTAAGGAAAAAAAGAAAATGTGTGACCGTGTGAATCCTGGTCCTGTGTTGTGATCGGCTGGAGGAGTTCTCACCTGCCTTTGAAGAAGGCGATGTAAACCGGAGACGAGTAGAAGTTGACAAACTGGAAGATGAAAACCTTGAGGATGAACATGTCTTCGTATTTATTCTGAGTGCGATGCATTTCTGACAGACACACACACACACACACACACACAGAGAAGCATTTTACAAAAATCATCTGACGGAATACACCTTTACAACGTATATACAGACAAAGACATTCAACAGAACATTATACACACACTGTACACCCTTCTGCTTATTTAGACTATTTTAAAACATTAGAAACCAGAATGAGTTATTCAACATATTGCTACTTGACGATAAACTTAGGACATTGAAATGACTAGAGTTGGTTATTCCCTCTGATAAAGTCTCACGTTAAAGATTCTATATAAACCAACAACTAATACAAAACCCAGAAATACTGAATTACATTTGTCAACAAGAAAAACGTTCATCAAACTTTTTTCTATAAAGAAACAAAATGAAAAATGTCTCGATGAACAAAATGTATAAAACCATCATCAAGAATAAAAACTAAGACTGAAAATCAAGTGACAGAAATTTGCTAAATTTGCGTCTGAGGTTCAAACTGAGAAGGGTGAAGGTGTGACTCACCCCAACGGGTGAGGATGTGGGCAAGAGCCACGTAAACCCTGGACAACATGAGGATGACCAACAGGTTCAACACTGACGATGATATGCTGGCTATTCTCTTAGCCTACACACACACACACACACACACACACACACACACATAAAAGTAGCTTTTTAAATCATGTATAAAAAAAGCAGGAACAGAAAAAGTGAATTCTTTGACATGTGGAGTTCCTCAGGGAAACGTTCCAGAGCCTCTGTTCTTTCTATTGGATCCTATTAATATTTACAAAAGTGCTTGTGTTTAGTTGATGCTGTTTGTTTTGTGCTGTTATTGTGTAGTTGTGTTGTACTGACAGAGAGGCTGAGGAAGCTGTTGCTGGACTTGTAGATGACGATGCCGAGGATGGTGCGATACAAAATGATGGCGATGAGACACATCAACACCACAACAATCTGCACACAGGAAGGTCAACACAACACGTAAACACAACCTGTGAACGCATGTCGTTTCATGTCCGTTACAAACCCTCCTGCTTTCACACCTGAGGGTCAGAGGTCAGGAGACTCACCATGACAATGATGACTAAGCAGCCGCTCAATGTTCTGTTGAAACGTTTGTTTTCAGGAAAATAAGGTTCCTCTGCGCCCGTCACCGGGTTCCTCGTGGTCATCGGTGCCATGGCGGCGAACTCTGGACGAGGTCGCTCCTGAAAAAGAAAGTGACAACAATCATTTACTGTTAACCTGAAATGACACTACGACCCCACCCCAATATTTCCTGGAAATACAGTCGACTCTGGATAAGTGCAGTAATGTCTCGTACTGATATTAACATTTGCAGAGACATGAAGTTTTAGGAATCTGACAAAGAGCAGTTTGAACGTGAATCCGCTCCATAGTGTTGGTGTCAGTCATGTCGATTTCTGCAACCTGAGGACGTCGCTTGTCATCCTCAGAATCTGTTCGACGGTTTGTTAACTTCCTGTTGTAAAACTTTCACCTCGATTTCCTCGAAGTCGGAGCAGTTCCAGCGATGAGACAGAACCGAACAGTTTCTTTTCCAGTACTCCAGGAACGTGACGGACCACAGAGACATGAAGACACTGAGAAACACCGTCCCTCCGTTATCAAACAGGATACCTGCCTGAAGACAGACAGAGAGAGAGATAGGTGGACAGAGAGTTGGAGACAGAGAGAAAGGTGGACACAGAGAGACAGGTGGACTGAGGACAGACAGGTG